TCATGAGGAAATGGCACAGGCAGGAGGCGGAAGCGTCCGCGAAGCGCCAGCGCGCGAGGGAAGCAGAAGCAGAGAGTACGGCCATCTCAGGACCAAAGAGAAAGAGAGCCGGGGAAGCGGCGGTGGGGGGGAAGAAGCGGCGACCGGGCACTGTTGTAGAAGCGAGTAGGGCGGCCGAGGCAGCACTTGTGGCAAACTATGTACCCGGCTGATGTTGTTGCGCCCTGTTTCCCTCCCTGCTGTATGCTATACTCCTTTATGTATGACCTTTGTATTGCCTTCGGCCTTTGTGCTGTGTTTCTTTTTTGCATGACCTCCCTGCCTACTCTGCTGTGTTGGGTACCTTGATCTCGCTTTGCTGTTGCCTTTGTTTTTGTACGTCTTGCTGTCTGCCNTTGGGTACATTGATCTCGCTTTTGCTGTTGCTTTTGTTTTTGTATGTCTGGCTGTCTGCCCATCTGCCGCCTCTTTGTCCTGTTTGCTCCGTTACTCCCATGCCCTGGTGCGTAGTGCCTGGTTTTGGTACGTTACCCTTTGATTTTTTCTATACGCGGGTGTGGGAAGAGTCCTCCTTTGTTTGTTTTTGTTTTATTCTTATCGGTTTCCGAGGGCTCTTTTCTCGAACGGTCGGTGCGGTACCCGTTCTTTTCTTTCTATCATTTTGACTTCTTTTTCCGTGGTTTGTACCCTATTATTGTTTTGTTTCCCTGCGGCGTCGTATGTGCCGGGTTTCGAGACCACGGGCTCCCCATTTTTTGTGGACTATAGAGCTATTGTGAGAAACAACAACAACAACAACAACAACAACAACAACAACAACAACAACAATGTCGGTGTCGGTCTAACTGTCCGTGTCGGAGGACCACCAAGCACGGACCACGAACAAGATCTTGGGGGACCGCAGACCTGGATGTACTCTTATTTGGCGGCCGCACAAGTCACAACCTTTAGTGCGTCACCACCACCAGCAGAAGGACTTCTCTATCTATTGTTGACAAAAATGCACACCCACTGCCTCTACAGATACCGCGTCCTCTGCTACACATGCTACCAGATGTGTTTTCATGAATGGGCCTCCATGATGTCGGGGGACTGCGGACGACACGTTTATCCAGATCTTTTGATGCGTAACTAAGCCTACTTCCACGGCTTTGCGATTTCATGTATTTTGCCGAACACGAGGTGACAACCATGAACGTTGTACGTTGATTTAGGAATACATTTAGAAGCCTCACGGGCAGGTAGGTATCCGATCTCCACGTTCCTTCTTGCTGGACCACTCGTTCCGCGATATCTCCGCCTGATGCTAGAGCCGTCGCACCTCCAATCCGCAACGAGTTCAACGCGTACTCCTGAGGGGTTCGCCCCGACTTCGCAACCACTTCGCTGAGCCCGAGGAGAGCAGCGCTATACTTTAGCACTCTCACTGCTTTCCCACGACGGTACGAAACCAGCGGTGAGGAGTCAGGCAACGTCGCATGGCACGATAATAGCGCCACCATAAGAGCGACTGCGACGCCGTTTGCTCTCACACCTGACTGTGGTTCGGTGACTTCGTCCCGCATTGTATGAACCCTGACGTTCCCTTTTTTTCTTGATCTGCCGTGTGCCCTCCAAATTAAACCTTAGCGAACGCAATGAGGCCCAAATAGTCTGTAGCACTACAACGCGAAGGAAAACCTGGAAACGGCCGTCTGTGTTATGATAAGACTAACGCCAGGTGCTTCTTTGAATCCTTCTCTAAAACTCAATGTTGAAATGTAGTAATGTAGTACTGCACTCCGTAGTCAATAATGGGTTGACCCACACTAAAGTACCACGAAACGAGCCTCGGGAAACAATACGTGGCGGAGCCTTCTGAACCTATGCCTGTTGCGGTGGTGTTTTCATAAAAGGTCATCCTGCTTCTCCCTCTCCGGCAATTTGGCAACCACAGGCCAACCCTTCCTTCTAAGTAGTAATTCTAACCCGTATTGCTCTACTCGGAGACGGGCGTCAGACGCCCACACACATGTTTATATTCGAATAGAAGCGTGACGCCCTGATCTACCAGTGCGCACACGTGCACTCTAGCTTCCCCTTCTGTGTTGGCGCGAACACGATAAATTCATTCCGGGATATTTGACGCTTGTGCGGTTAACTCATGAAACAAACACGAAGCCGGTCGTCCAGTTAACCCTACTACGCGAAGGGAGAGCGGCTGCCGATGCCCGAACGAACAAATGCTCGTGCCCACTGCTCCACTTTCTAGTCTGCCGCGGGCGGCGGCTCTTCCTTACTCCTCCTGGCAAGCAGCTCCCTCCCCTTGTCCGCATCCCTATGATAACAACCCGTCCGCATTATTGGATTCTGTGTCGTCATTTTGTTCGACAGCTCTAGCGCTCCTCCTCAATCCTGCCGAGCCTCACCGATCGGTCATCGTCCACCGGTCCGAGGTGCGCCGACTCGATGGAGAGCGACGCCGCTAGGCAGATTGACTTCATCACAGCCTTCTGGACCAGTATGCAAAGCCCCGGGTTTTGGTGCTGCGGTCGGTCGAGTCGAAAAAATGCACAAAAAGCGTGCCGGTTGCATGCGCATGAGGGGGGTTGAGGCAGACAGGGCAAGAGGGGTGTGTGTGTGCTCATAGTCGTGCATGCCGTTGTCGACAGACCATTGACCTCGCATCCCTACAAAGCCGCAACGGAGCACGCCGGGTTTCCACCGGACCAGGCTCTCACATCACCAAGCGCGAAGCGCGGGTATTCGGCGGGTCGCATGAAGGGTGCGCTGCATCCTGCAAGGCATCATGTGCTTGCTTCCTTGCATACGGATGACAGCCACTAATGACCAAATTTATTTTCTGGTGCTTTCTCTTCCAGAGACAGTTGTAAGCACTGCGTAGCTGCCTCGAGGGTGCTTGACCAAGTTTACACAAAGAGGTACGACCATCCCCTTTGCAAGGAGTGAGGGTTCTCGACCCCGCACAACATCACCTATTCAATCACCATTGTAGTTACCGCAAAAATAAAACCAAAGGCGAAAAAAAACCCGGTAACCTGGTTACCGAGCTCACGAAGTGATCGGCTTGTTTTACAACGTCGTCGCCAAGCGACGAAAACCCAAACCCGATGGTAAACACCGAGAGGCTAAACCGGAAAGGGAGCAGGTCAGGAGGTACTCGTAGTCGTGCATGCCTTAGTCGTTAGACCTTTGACCTCGCATCCCTACAAAGCCGGGACGCAGCACGCCGGGTTCTCACCGGACCAGGCTCTCACATCACCAAGCGCGAAGCGCCGTGAGATATTCGGCGAGTCGCATGAAGGGTGCGCTGCATCCTGCCAAGGGTGCTCGGCATCTTGTGCTCACTTCCTTGCGGACGGGTGACAGCTACGTTTATTTTCTGGTGCTTCCACTTCCAGAGACAGTTATGAGTACTGTGTAACTGCCTCGAGGGTACTTGACCATTTTAACACAACGTGGTGCGATCATCCCCCTTGCGCGGAATGACGGTTCTCGACCCCGCACAACATGATCTCCTTAACCACCACTCATGGTTACCGCAACAAACAACAACAAGTTGCCAAAATAAAGCGGTAACCAGGTTGTCGAGCTCACGAACTTATCGGCTTGCTTTACAACGTCGTTGCCAAGCGACGGAAACCGAAACCCAGAGAGGGGGAGGGGGGGGGGGGGGGGGGG